CCACCTAGCGAGTTCATTTTTGGTCAGAATATTTCCCTTCAAGGTGTTGACATATGTTCCAAATATTAACCAAATCGGTCCAGCCGTTTAGTAGTTTAGTGACATACAATATACAAAAAACTCTATAGAATTGTGAAATTGTGACATCTCAGCTTTCTTAATTTTTTGGCAACAACAAAAAGTTTTGAATTTTTTTTGTATTGAAAAACCTTCCACACAGAAGGTCCAAAAATGTGCTCTTTACAGAATGGAAATCGGTTCAGCCGTTTAGTGAGGAATCGCGGTCATACGAAAAACATTTCATTTTTATATATATAGATTAATCATTTCTCGGAACCGGAAGATTCGGACCACTATATTTAACATATAGCGCCCATACAACTGATTGTTCATATATGTGATTTTTTGTTATAACTTCTCCATTTATGCAGTTAGGAACATGCAATTTTGCATCACTTCCACACATTACCAACAGAAAACTTAGAGTGAAAATTACAAAGATAGGGTCACTATAACATATTGCTCGCATACAACTGATTGTTCAGATATATGTAAGACTTACATACAACTGATACAACTTCTCCATATATGCAGCTCGAAATATGAAATTTCGCACTTTTTCACTTATTATTAATAGAATACTTACAGTGAAAATAACAAAGATCGGGCCACTATAACATATATCTCCCATACAACTGATTGTTCAGTTATGCGAATTGTCGTTATAACTCCTCCATCTATGCAGCTAGGAACATGAAATTTTTGCAGTATTTGCACCCATTATCAACAGAATACTTTCAGTGAAAATGGCGAAGATCGTGTCACTTTTACATATAGCTCCCATACAACTGATTGTTCAGATATGCGATTTTTTGTTATAACTTCTCCATATATGCAGCTAGAAACATAAAATTTCGCACTATTATCACTCATTATAAACAGAAAGTTTACAGTAAAATTAACTAAGATCGGGTCACTATAATCTATTTATTGCCTCCGTACAACTGATTGTTCAGATATGGGGTTTTACTGTAAAACTCTTTTATTTGGACAGCTAAACCCGATAAATTTTGTAAGCTATTTTATAAATAATAATACAAAGTCTACTCAGAAAATCGTCAAAATCTATGCTTCATAAGCTTTATATCTTATACCACTGATTATTCAGATATCAGTTTTTGGGATATATCTCCTTTATGTAGGGAGCTAAACCCGTTAAATTGTGTTACCGGTTTACGTACCGATCACACAGCAGTGAAAATCACTTAGATTGGTGCTATATAAATTATATCTTCCCACTAGAACTTGAAGGGAGATCTCCCTATGTGAGGAATAAAAGAGTACTCCCCTTAACCTGATTTCTGAGCAATAAGAGAGATTTGTCG